TATTGCTATACGTGTATTTAAGCCGGATCTACAAATTTAGAATAACCGTTATTTTATACATTATAACTATCACAACACATATTAATTAAACATATAGCATCATTTTTTTTACTGAAGTATAAAATTATAATCCACAGGTCTGCTTTTTATCACATGATTTATTCTCTACAATAAAGAATACACATTTCAGACGTAATGTTAAATCGGGTTAATAATCATTATTTTCATTTGAGATTACCAGATCCGAGATAAGCAAATCCGAGATGTGCATAGATACCCTATATCTAGATCCATACTTATAGACTATGTCATTATTATATTAACTCATAATTAAGATGCAATAGGCACAATGAAGGTACGATGAAGGTACGATGAAGGTGCGTTGAAGGTATGATGATTTTTTTTTCTTATAAAAACGTATAGAAATATTATATTATGAGTGTATCTTAGTTGGGTATTCGTCGAAATTAAATTTTTGTGATGTGGACCAATAATCAATTACACTTATTGATCAATGAAAGAAAAAATCGAAATGCAGATTATTATAACATTTCCGGTAGTAGTAGGGTAGACTTTTGGAATAGTATAGCAAACACAATCAATGAACGATTTGGGACCACCTATACAGGACACCAATGTAATAATAGATTTCAGAATCTTGTTAGAGATTACAACGTAGACGTTAAACTCTATATACTATTTTAACTATGACATTCAATATGATAGTATTTCAAATGTACTTTTATATTGGCTGTGTTGCCTCACTAAAACTTTTTTAGTCGATGTGTTTATATATAGCTAGGAGCAAAACCGGAAAGAGGAGCAGAGCAGGTGAATGATATTTTGAAGAATTTAATTCTCATTTTTGGGTGAGACCTAGTAAGTTCACCTATGATACAATCTATCACTGTAGTAGTAAATATATAGATAACTCATGAAATTGCCTTGTATATGAGAATATAGAAACTTCATTCGACATATTGCATAATGCAAACACATCCACCAGAAGACGTCGCCATAACCATACCCCACCATTAACTTACGAAGTGCCATCAATTATAAGTACTAGTCGCTGTGAATCTACCACCAATCAAAGGAATCAATTTGCATCACCTATCGTGAGAGTTTCTAGTAGAAGGGATGAGAATAGTAATCGAGATAATGTAAATAGTGCTATTGGACATAGCTTAGTTAATGTAAATGATGTGTGTGGAGATTCGGGTAATAACACGAATGATGCAAGTGGAAATTTAAGTAATGTGACATACTCATCTTAATCTGAGTTAATAAATATTACCTCGGCCCTTAATTTATCTGCATCACAAAATAACAGCGATTTAAGTATGCCTGATATAGGAGGGCCACTGGAATCTATAAATGAGGAAAGTTAAATTCACGGCTGTTAA